AATACTAAAGCTATTTGATAAGGCGCTCTATACGTGTTCTCTGATAGTAACAGTAGATAAAAAGAGGCCCTTAATTCTTACTGGACTCTCATAGGGCTCAGTTATATTACGGATTTGAAAATATTATCAAGTTGCATTGCACCCTACTTTAGCGCTCAATGGGCTAAAATTAAATACATTGTTAAATACAAATACATGCATAATTTATACGTGTAAATAAAGTTAAAAACTCATTAATAATTCAGGAGCAAAACACAAAGAAAAATCATAAGCGTGTCGTGGTTTTATATGTGATATAAAATATGTTAATTTACATAAACTTTAGCTTTGATTTTCTCGTTTTAGACAAAGTTTATTTTACTGTAAAAATTACTTCGCCAGTGAACTCGTATAAGATGAGTCGTTTTTTAAGCCATTTAAAGCATTTGTAGTCGTGTTTTATATGTGATAAAACACTCCTACGCGTGCTTTAAATAGTACTTAGTTTAGTAAAGTGTAAATAAAGTTAGTTTAGTTCAGGTTTCGTCCTCTAGTAACACTGAATCAATAAGAGAGGATCCTTACTGGACCTCTTAGGGGGAACAGTTTAGAACTGATAGAACTATCCAGTATAAATAAAGTTAGTTTAGTTTAGGTTTCCTCCTGTAGTAACACTGAATCAATAAGAAATTATCCTTACTGGACCTCTTAGGGGGAACAGTTTAGAACTGATAGAACTATCCAGTATAAATAAAGTTAGTTTAGTTTAGGTTTCCTCCTGTAGTAACACTGGATCAATAAGAGATGATCCTTACTGGACCTCTTAGGGGGAACAGTTTAGTAGAACTGATAGGATTATCCAGTGTAAATAAAGTTAGTTTATAGTTTAGGTTTCATCCTGGGAAACTCTATTAAAAAAAGAAAAACACACACAAATACACTCGTACACGTTTCAAGTAATTTCCGTTCACTAAGGATCTTCGGAGTGATTATATCAAGTATCGAAACCCAAAATATCGATAATTTCTTCTCGTCAAGAACGTATGACCATTTATGGCACGGAAATTATCCGGAATTGACGGCAATTATATTCCGCCAACCCTTTTCTGACAGCAAGAAGCACCCCGCGGAGCTTTTAAGCGATCCACGATTGTTTCCAAACCGCAAGATTTAACAGAATATTAAAATTGAGATTTATGGCAAGAAGTTAATGATAAACAATCGAGCCAAGTTAATAACGTATGCCATGGCTCTTGGTAAATTATTAAACGTGCTTTCACCAGAAAGGGATTTAGTTTCTGAAGGCTGAAGCATTCAACCCTGGATCAATATAAAATATAGTTCTGAATCCTTACAATATCTCAATAAGATTAATCAAACTAATAAGAAATGGCTCTTACTGGACCTCTAGGAAGAACAGTTTAGAACTGATAGAGCTATCCAGTATAAATAAAGTTAGTTTAGTTTAAGTTTCCTCCTGTAGTAACACTGGATCAATAAGAGATGATCCTTCTGGACCTCTAGGAGGAACAGTTTAGAACTGATAGAGCTGTCCAGTATAAATAAATAAAGTTAGTTTATAAGTTCTTTGTATGTTTGCATGGTGATAAAATATAATAGGTTTTGTTTGTGGAAACACTTAATAAATTTGCAGTAATAAATTTACGTGGTGTTTCCACAAACAAAACCTATTAAAGTTAGTTTAGTTTAGATCAATCAGAGATAATCCTTACTGGACCTCTAGGAGGAACAGTTTAGAACTGATAGAGCAATCCAGAAAAATAAAGTTAGTTTAGTTTAGGTTTCTTCCTGTAGTAATACTGGATCAATAAGAGATGATCCGTACTGGACCTCTAGGAGGAACAGTCTAGAACTGATACAGCTATCCAGTATAAATAAATAGTGACAGATCAGTTCTGCCACATTCCAAGTGTTCCCTAAAATGCCGTCGATAGAACAAATGCAATCACACAGATGTTACCGTCATATCTTATAGTATGAATAAATGATATATATATGTGACCCTAAAATATCAACTTACGCATATTGTTCGTATCTTAGATACATCTCTGAATCGTTTCATATACTAAAACCATTAAGATTATATTATATTTTATTAAGTTTTGCTTAGAGCATCGTGTTTCATTATTTTAATACTCAACTGTCACCACTTTGGTTCGGAGATATTCGTTCAACGCTTCCTCTCCTGAAAAGATAATCATAATTCCCATTTATAACAATCACAACTTAACACAACAATTTTCAATCGTTGAACCTTTGTTAGTCCTTTGAATGAAGAATGACTAATAAATAAGAAGACAAGCAAGCAAACATATATAGACAAACAGACACATACAGACAAACATATATACAGACACATGCATGCAAACAGACATCCAGACACAGACAGACAAACCGACACATCCATACATACATACAGACAGACAGACAGACAGACAGACAGACAGACAGACAGACAGACAGACAGACAGACAGACAGACAGACAGACAGACAGACAGACAGACACAGACAAACAAACAAACATACAGACAGACAAACAGACACATACAGACAAACAAACAAATGCATACAGACAGACAAACATACACATACAGACAGACAGACACAGACAGACAAACAGAGACACACATACAGACAGACACATACAGACAGACAGACAGTCAAACAGATGCATGCAGACAGACAAACAGACATATACAGACAGACACATACAGACAAAAAGACACAAACAGACAGACAGGCAAACATACAGACACATGCATACAGACAGACAAACAAATGCATGCAGACAGACAGACAGACAGACAGATAGACAGACACATACAGACGACAGACAGGCAAAGAAACAGACACACACACACATACAGACACAGACAGACAAACAGACAGACAAACAGACAGACAAACAGATAGACAAACAGACAGACAAACAAACAAACAGATAAACACATACATACAGACACATACAGACAAACAGACAGACAGGCAAACATACAGACAAATGTAGACAGACAAGACAAACAGACGCATACAGACAAACAAACACAGACAGATAAACAAACAGATAAACAGACACAAACAAACACAGACAGATAAACAGACACATACAGACAAACAAACACAGACAGATAAACAGACACATACAGACAAACAAACGCAGACAGATAAACAGACACATACAGACAAACAGACAGATAAACAGACACATACAGACAAACAAACACAGACAGATAAACAGACACAAACAAACACAGACAGATAAACAAACACAGACAGATAAACAGACACAGACAGATAAACAGACATATACAGACAAACAAACACAGACAGATAAACAGACACATACAGACAGACTCATACATAATGAATGATGTGTATGATTCGAAAATTAAACCGTCCTAGGTTTAATTTTGCATCATGTACGTTGCGTTGAAGTTTGCGCGTTTTGGGGTTGGACAGAAATGGTTGGGTATGCGTGTTGTTTGATTGTGTAATTATAGGCAAAGCAAAATAAATAAATAAATAAATACAGGCAGACAGACAGAGACAACACACAGTTGCACCACAGGACAATGTAATATGTACCATCATACCTAAATCTTTTCCAAAGCCAGACTGTTTAAATCCACCGAAAGGAGCAGCTACATCCGTCTTGTTGTAGCAATTAACAAAACACGTTCCAGCTTCAAGACCATCAGAAACTCTCAGAGCCTGCATCAAGTTACAGAACATGTTTAAACATCATTGAACAAAATACGTTTGCAGGTTGTCATGGGCAGGGAGAACATTTTAGATGAGCTGCTGTATTCAGTGCAAATGTTAGCTTCTCTTGTAGGAACGCTGAATTAATTGGGATACTTCCTTTATGACGCTCTGGTTTAGATCCGCCAACAAAAAAGGAAGTGGAATTGACGTACCTTGCTGAGATCTTTGGTGAACACACCAGACGCGAGACCGTACTCTGTCGCATTTGCTCGTTTTATGACGCCATCAACATCTCTGAAATAAACACAAGTTGTAAGAGACTCGAACTAAGGTGTCTGGGTCTGGCCAAGTTCAGAAATGTCGACACTTCAAGAAAATGAAAGCCTTCACATACGAGACTACACAAGTAAAAACACACAAGTTGTTATAGATCTTCAAACGAGTTGTAAGAAGATTGTTCTCAAGACTATATCAGACTTGTTGGAACAACTTGTTGCGAGTCTCTTGGCCTCATCAACCTTGTTACAAGAAGATAACAGTTGTTCCGGATTTGTCAACAACTGGGAACAAGCAGTGCGAACACATGTTGTTCACAAGCTGCGAGATTTTACTCGTGTGCTACACACGTAAAGACGCACAAGTTGCAACAAACCTGCAGCAGACTTGTAGCAATGCTATTCCAACAACTTGTCAACAGGATGTGTTCGCACTGCTTGTTCCCAGCTTGTTAACAAGTTGTCAACGGTCTGTTAAAAATTTGCTACAAGGTCGTTGAGCTCAACAGACTTGTTACAAGTTGTTCTAACAACTTGCTATCGTCCTGCATATTGTCGTAACAGCATTGTTACAACTTGTTGACAAGTTTGCTACAAGCCTGTTGCGAACACATCTTGTTGACAAGTTGTGAGATTTTTTGTGTGTATATATCAAGCAGTATCACTTTCATCTGTCGCAAAATAGTGAAAACAATTAATCTATTTGTTATATACAATGCAAACAAGGTTACCCATTATCAAACTTGGATATGACCATTATTGGACCAAACGATTCTTCTTTCGCAATGAATGTTCCATCTTGGACATTCGTGAACACTGCTGGCTCCATATACCAACCTAAAATAACATCACGATTTTAGCGCATGTCTTCTTTCCTTCTGGGACTGGGGTTAACAGCTTGTAACAATCTTGTTGATATTATCAGGCTTGTAGCAAGATTGTTCCAACAAGTCTGATACATTCTTGATATAACAATATTGTACAAGTTGTTAACAGCTTGTAACAATTTTGTTGATATTATCAGACTTGTAGCAAGGCTGTTCCAACAAGTCTGATGCAGTTATGATATAACAATATTGTACAAGTTGATTAAACAGCTTGCAACAAGCTTGTTGATATTATCAGACTTGTAGCAAGGTTGTTCCAACAAGTCTGATACAGTCATGATATAACAATATTGTACAAGTTGATTAAACAGCTTGTAACAAGCTTGTTGATATTATCAGACTTGTAGCAAGGTTGTTCCAACAAGTCCGATACAGTCATGATATAACAATATTGTACAAGTTGTTTAAACAGCTTGTAACAAGCATGTTGATATTATCAGACTTGTAGCAAGGTTGTTGTAACAAGTCTGATACAGTCATGATATAACAATATTGTACAAGTTATTTAAACAGCTTGTAACAATCTTGTTGATATCATCAGGCTTGTAGCAAGGTTGTTCCAACAAGTCTGATACAGTCATGATATAACAATATTGTTACAATTTTGTGTCATCAAACATGTAACATTCTTGTTTTATCATGACTGTATCAGACTTCTTAGAACAACCTTGCAACAAGTCTGATAATGCCATGAAGCTTGTTACAAGTTGTTAACAGCTTGGTCCAAACTTGTTACAACAACTGGGAACAAGCAGTGCGAACACAACTTGTCGACAGCTTGTGAACAGATTTGTGACAACTTGTTTGCAGACCTGTAACAACTTGTGCGTTTTTACGTGTACAGAGTCCAGTTGTCGAGTTCTAACCGCAAATTAATGCACACGCAAAAACGCACACGTTGTTACAGGTCTGCAAACAAGTTGTTACAAATCTGTTCACGAGCTGTCGACAAGTTGTGTTCGCACTGCTTGTTCCCAGTTGTTGTAACAAGTTTGGAACAAGCTGTTAACAACTTGTAACAAGCTTGATGGCATTATCAGACTTGTTACAAGGCAGTTCTAAAAAGTCTGATACAGTCATGACAAACAAGAATGTTACAACGTTGACGACACAAGGTTGTAACAAAACTGCTATATTCATTCAATGAGTACGATGTCCTTCGAGAGTCTTGAATATTTCTCAAACACTGCAGGTTTTTTACTGGTAATCTGAATTCTTCCTGCGGCCAATTACAGAACTCATACTGTTATCTAGTGTGAATAAAGTCAAGCTCTGTATATTTACCCGGCGTGTCGACTCGTTTTCCTCCATATACCAAAGTAGCCCCCTCCTTGACGCCAGTATCGACATACGACAAGAGGGAATCGAGATGAGATTTATGATTCTGTGGACCATGGTCTGTTGAACGATCCAGTGGATTGCCAATTTTCATTTTCTTTACTTCAGCCACCTGTGGAGAACGAAATGCAAAATAAATCTCTGCAAGTGAGGTATGTAAGTGTACACACGTAAAAACGCACAAGTTGTTACAGGTCTGCAAACTAGTTGTTACAAAATCCATTCACAAGCTGTCGACAAGTTGTGTTCGCACTGCTTGTTCCCAGTTCCTGTAACAAGTTCGGAACAAGCTGTTAACAACTTGTAACAAGCTTGATGGCATTATCAGACTTGTTACAATGTTGTTCTAACAAGTCTGATCATACAGTCATGATATAACAAGAATGTTACAAGTTTGACGACACAAGGTTGTAACAATATTGTTATATCATGACTGTATCGGACTTGTTGGAACAACTTTGCAACAAGTCTGATAATATCAACAAACTTGTTACAAGTTGTTAACAGCTTGTTCCATACTTGTTGACAACTTTGGACAAGCAGTGCGAACACAACTTGTTGACGGCTTGTTGGCAGACTTGCTACAAGATGTGAGATTTTTACGCGTGTAATAAGAAGCCTTTAGGACAAATACAGCTAGACAGAAAAATAATTGAATAATTCATTTTGGTTTTGGACTAATGTATTACCGATGGAGAAACTTACCACTTTTTCTACGAATTCGTCATGAATGGATTCTTCAACAAACAGCCGACCTAAAACAGAACGCAATATCTTAAACTGCCGTCCAGTCATGGTCGTACAGAAAGCCAACAATATATGCACGAGACTTCTAAATCTTTACCTGCGGCAATACAATTCTCTCCTTTGTTGAAGAAGCAAGCCATGAGACCCTGAAAAACAAATAGACATCTTTATTATTGTATCGCCCGTATTCTAAAAGCTCACTCACACTCAATGAGTGGAGGTTCAATCTTAGCTTCTCTTGTCAATGAGTGTCAATGCTGTTTTTGAATAGCTGGAGGGTGAGTAGTTACCGAGTAAGGTATGACACTAGCCCTCCAGCTATTCAAAAACAGGATTAACACTCAAGAGAAGCTCAGATTGAACCTCCACTCATTCAGTGTGAATGAGCTTTTAGAATATATATATATATATATATACTAGGGTACTGCCATGTTAAGGTATGGGTGTATATATACTAAGGCACTGCTATGGTAAGGTATATTTATTCTATATCTTTCCATATCTCTTATTTCTATGACGAATAGTTATTGCTACCATACCTGACGGACGGCTCGATCCAAGTCACAATCTGCAAAAATGATCAATGGTGATTTGCCACCAAGCTCCAACTGAACTCGCTTTAGTGAAGGACTGCAACTGTTGAGATGAGAAAAAAAGATTACGAATGATTCAGAGCATATTTAACATTGTTTAAGCTGTACTATTAAAGATGATATTAGTAGGCTCTGCACAACTTACTTGGACATGATAGTCTTGCCAACAGGAGTTGAACCAGTGAAACCGACTTTACTGATGTCAGGATGTTCACACATGTAATTACCAATCAAAGAACCTGGAAAAGCCAAATAAATATTCAAATAATATATTAGATCTTTTCATCGACAGCATTTCACTGATAACGAGGACAAACTATATATATACGTAAACAAAGTAGTTTCATCTCTGAAATTCAAGGAAGTAGACAGTACCAGAATTTGTTAACTGGCATTGAAAACTACTCATTTACTGAATGGATTACAGTAGGTTTATACAAACCTGATCCTGGCAAGATGTTGATGACTCCAGGAGGGAATCCAGCCTTGACTGTAAGCTCCGCAAACTTCAATGCTGTCATTGGGGTCACCTGTGCAATACATAACGCCATTATAAAACTAACTTTATTTATACTGGATAGCTCTATCAGTTCTAAACTGTTCTTCCTAGAGGTCCAGTAAGGATCATCTCTTATTGATCCAGTGTTACTACAGGAGGAAACCTAAACTAGATTTATTTATACTGGATAGCTCTATCAGTTCTAAACTGTTCTTCCTAGAGGTCCAGTAAGGATCATCTCTTATCGATCCAGTGTTACTACAGGAGGAAACCTAAACTAAACTAACTTTATTTATACTGGATATCTCTATCAGTTTTAAACTGTTCTTCCTAGAGGTCCAGTAAGGATCATCTCTTATTGATCCAGTGTTACTACAGGAAGAAACCTAAACTAAACTTAACTTTATTTATACTGGATAGCTCTATCAGTTCTAAACTGTTCTCCCTAGAGGTCCAGTAAGGATCATCTCTTATTGATCCAGTGATAGTAAGGGCGAAACTGGAGAAAACTACATACC